TCCCTCTTGAGGTGACAGGCAATTTCTTCTAGGTCCTGTGAGCTTGCTGGAACCTGATGGTCTTATTTCCATTAAGGCTCTCTTTCGCGAGAAAGCCTGAATCAGGGAAGGGTGCATGATGGACATTTGATGTTCTGACAAATTCACCCTAGTCACCAAGGATTGCAACAACAATTTCACAAAATAACCATTTTGTTATTAGCAAACATGCTGATTCAATTCGTTCATGTTCCCTTCACAGCTAGGTTTCTTTTTCTTTTTACCACTTACTGAGGTATAATTGATGAATAAAAACTGCGCATATTTAATGTATACAATTTGATGAGTTTGCACATATGCATACACTTAGGATATCATCACCACCATGAAGTTCAAAGGCATATGTGTCACCTCCCAAAGTTCCCTTGTATTCCTTTTGTGAATGTGTATACTTAGAACACTTAACACCAGATCTACCATATTAATAATTTTTACGTATGGTCCCCTATGGGCACTTTGCTGTATAGCAGATTTCCAAGCTCATTTGTCATGTGGAACTGGGATTTTATGCCCAATGAATAGCAACTCCCCATTTTCTCCTCCTTTGACAGTTGGTTTTTGAGAGGCCACTTTATAATTGTCTCTTCTTCATTTCTTTTTTTAAATTTGATTTTTAATTTTTTTATTTTAGGGAGAGAGAGAGAAAGCAAGTGGGGGAGAGAGGCAGAGGGAGAGCTAGAAATTCCCTTCTCTTCAATGATGTCTATGACAATGTTTTATGTTTGTTTCTTTCTTTCTCTTTCTCTCTCTCTTTTTTAAATTTCTTTCTGTGTCTCTGATTACTCTTCGGATAGGGATCCTATCTTTTAAATGATGATATGATGTTCCCTAAGGTTTCTCTTGCATTCATTTTTTTCCAAGGATCATAATGTTTGTTTATTGATAGATAAAGCATACGAAATTAGGGCATGAACATGACTTGATAAATTAAGTAGACTTAATTTCAATAAGAATAAGAGGCACCAATTCAAATTCTCACCATGTGTTTCACACCCACAAAACCACTTCAAAGGCATTAATGATCTCTCAAAACTGATCGATTTTGTGCAAATAAACCAGGTTTCTTTTAAAAAGACGTGTGCACTTGCCCCGCCTTAAGGATATTAAAAGTCAAGCACATAAAGCCCATTACTACAGGTAGAAATACAGGCAATAGACTATTGTAGCAACAAGAGTCAATTATAGTTAAGACATTTTCGGTAACAACCAAATGGATACTCAAATATTGCAACAACGCAAGTATTACTGAGCAAAGTTCATTTCCACAGTATTCAGTGTTGCTATTCGGTTTTCTAACTTAAAACAGCCTATGATAACCGGCAGCAAAGAAGATCCTTGCATAGACTGCATCTGCTTAAAAACTACTGATGCAATTATTGCATGCTGCTAATATGTATTTAAACATTGAAGACACTCCTAAAATATTTGATGGTAGGCTGTGATTAAGACAATACACTACAAAAAATCCTTGTGCAGAAGGAAATCCTAACTGACTTGTTTCTGCCTTAAGTATTGTGAAAACATTCCTGCATTCACTTCTTATTAATGCCTGCCCAGTCACTGATATTGCCCGTATCTGCTATTTCTAGAGCCCAAATTTCTCCTGAGCCTAGGGCCTTAAATTTCAACTACCCATTAGGCATCTCCGCCTGGGCATCCCATGGGATGTCCTCAATTACTTTGATGCTCTTCTTTCGTATCGCGTCTGTGTGTGTGGCTTTCCATGCTGGAGACCAGAACCGCCTCTGCTCTCATCCTTGCCACTTTCTGTATCCCAGGATCTATCAGTTCTAGCTTCCTGTTCTCTCAGATCTGTCCCATCCCCTCCACCTCCACCCGTTTTGCCTAGTTCGGTTTTCACCTGATGACGTCAACCTACTTGTTCACTTCCTTTTCCTAAACACAAGACCATAGTAGGAGCTCAAAACTCACTGTGGCTAAGACGGGTACTTTGTAACAATTCCCCTGACCATCTGTGCCACCTGGTAACTCATCTCCATAGGAGCTCCAAGTGTCGTTCTAAGACACACAGGTAGTCATGCCACATCCCACCTCCCACATCAAATGCTTCCGCTACTTCCAGGATCAGCTGTAATCTCCTTAGCTGACCTATAAAACCTTCTTGCCCTTTCCACCTCATGTCCACCCTCTTCTCTCACTTCACCCCAACGTACCCTCCTGTAGCCCTGTGAGTCAGCCAACAGCACCAGAGCTCTCTAAGGACTTTTCCCCTCTTTTTTTTTTTTTTTTAATCAAGGTATGATTAGCATACAATAAAGTACAGACTTTAACTGCACATATGGATGGAGTTTGGAAAATGTATACATCTGTGTAACCACCATCTAATCAATACATAGGACCTTCCTATCACCCCAGAAAGTCCCCTGTGTCATCACCAGTTAATGCCTTCAGGTTAATCATTGCTTTGATTTCTGTCACCATATATTAGCTTCTCCTGTGTGTCTGACTTCTTTTGTTCAACATAATATCTGAGATTCATCTGCATCAGTATGCATACCAGAAGTTCCTTTTTATTTTTAATTGTGGAATAGTATTCCACTATTTAAATATACCACAGTTTTTTTATGGATTGGCAGGCATTTGAGCTGTTTCCAGTTTGGGATTATTATGTACCAAACTGAAATGAACATTTTTATACAATCTTTTTGAGGACACAGATTTTTTTTTTTGGCATAAATACAGAGAGGGGAATTAGCTTAATAAGAAACTGCCTAATGGTCTTCCAGCCACACATCTCTGTGCTTGGTAATGTTGGGCATTGTTAACATTTTGGTCATTCTAGTGTATGTTAAGTGGTGTTTCATTGTGGCTCTAAGTTGCATTTTCTTCTTCACTAATGATGTGGAGCACCTTTTCAAATGATGATTGGCATTTGTATACCCTCTTTGGTGATATACTCCATTCAGTTTTTGACCTGCTTGAAATTATGAGTTGCTCATTTTTAAAAATTCATTTGCCAGACACACCTTGCATTTTCTTAATGATGTCCTTTGAAGAGCAGACAATTATAGTTTATCCTCTTTCTTTTCCTTTGCCTTTTTACTTTGTCTGTGCAGGATTCTTTACCTGGGAGGAAATTCCTCCCTGTCTTGAGAGTCATTTGACATCATAGGATATGGTCATCACTGATTTTCTTCCTCCTTCCCCCCCACAAGCTTGGAGCCAACTAGAGAGCAGGGGGCATGCTTTATAGAGTCCTCTACATCCAGCAGGAAACTGAGCAAGAAGTAGATGCTCAGAAACTATTTATTACCCTAGTGCACAAGTGAATGTATTGAAAATTGGAAGAGTTGGTTCAATTCCATCAAGGAACTTTTTTTTTGTATGTTGTTTTCTGAAAGCAAAGGCAACTCCCCACTTACCTCACAAGCATGTGCAAGCCAGGGAAGCTTGAGGAGGTTGTGGAAAAGGAGGGTTTTGCCCCTTACGTGTACATCAGTAAGCAGCCTGCGAATACACAGCTGTTGCGGGTTTTATTATTGCTGCTGTTATGACTATTTAGTGAATCCTGATAGTTTTTGGTAAAGAAGTATATGTAATTGTTTGGTAATTCTTAATAAATTTGATGTTCCTCATGTAATGCTGCAACATCTTGAACCAAAAGCATGTATGACTAGTGAGGACTTGAGGTGTAAGGGCTTTCCTTTTGACTCATCCCGTTGGAGGGGCAGCTTTGATTTTAGCGAGGTTCACTGACCTCTGAAATCATACGGATCCCATAAAAATGGCCATGTCCTCATTCAATCGTTCCAAGAAATAACCTTAATGAATTCTGCAGAGAACTCCCACTTGATAATGGGAGCTAAGAAGTCATAATACTATTCTGACAGGAAGGTGTGGTTAAAAACATTTGAAAAGCACCAGCAATAATGAAAATGATGGGCTCACTGAGGAAGCAAAGTGCAATCTCCTCTCCTCAGGAAACCACAAAGTGGAGAAGTCCCCGCTCAGTGGACAATGAGACACAATCAAAGGATATTCAGCTCATTATGAATTAAGCATTTGAGAGGAGAAATGACTTTTTCCATAGCAACAAAGCTGTAGAAAGTCCAGAATTTTATTGGCTGATTCTCATATTGTTCTTCTAGGGCAGCATGAATCCGCCAGATGATTACAAGTAACCAGAAACAAGTGTGGCATTCAGAGAGTCAAGTGAAATTGACAAAAATCTATAGAAAGAATAGAAAATATAGTTACAGATCACCAGAATGCTCAATTCCCCGATTCAAAAAATACACAAATGAGAAACTAATTTGAAATGGAAGTTTTAAGGATTTGACGCAATAACTCAATGTTGCCTAATAAAATATCCATTATCCAGGATGCAATCTTCGCTCCTGAAAGTGCTGGTTCTGTTCTGGAGTGCTGAAAAGGTCCATATCCTTCTCTTTGGTCAAGGCTTTATGCCGAGAGCGGACATGTGACATAATCTTTCTCAAATGACGAAGAACCCTAAAAGACAGTGGTGTAAAATTGTCCCTGGCACGGAAGTATCAAAGAAACACAGCACGGTGTTGAAGGTGCAGTGGCAGCAAGTCACAGGCTGCCTGCCGGTCATGACTCTGACGTGGTCCTGGAGGCTGTTGCCCCGACACCTCCCAAACCATGACCTGGCTCTCGTTGCTCTAAACCATGACCAAATATTGTCCATATTCTCAAAGCCAAGCCAAAATAGACTTGAAAGTCTTTTCTCATAAGAATTTGGTCGTGATTTAAAGTATAGTTAGAATTCTAGCTGCAACTCATTTAAGTGGAAAGCAGGAACTTTTGCCTTTGATACCTTGTGGGCCAAGAACAATGGCCAGCTGGGTGATTAGCAAGAGAATTGATGGGAGAACTTGGGAGCAAAGGGAAAATTTATGGGACTGTTGGAGTTGAAAGGCTATATTTAGAAAATTAAAGAAGTAAATTCAGTAACTGCATTAACACTCCAAGACTCATTTAACTATTGATCAAAGAGAATTTATTCACAGAGTTTTTCAAATACAAACAAAATAGCACTTTAAAATTTTTTTTTTATACAAAATGAATATTGAAATAAATGTGGTACAGCACAGTACAATAATGGACAAAAGAAAACAAGATCTAATGACTGGAAAATGTCTCTCATTACGTTCACACCTTCAACCGAATTCTCTCCTATAGTGGATAGGAAGTTGCCCCTTTAGTTCATAAGAATATCACAGCAGAAGCTTCTCAGACAAAGAAATCTTGCATATTTTTGAATAATATTGAAATACAAAGGCTTAACTCTAAAGGTCTTTATAAACACTGAAAACAGGTTGAGGGCATGAAGAGTTTATGCAGGATATACAAAATACTGATAGAGTGGCTTACTGGTCCATTTATTAGGTTTAATGTATGCTTTATAAAGTGATAATACTGTATTTTAAGTGTGTAATAAAAAGAAAACAGAGGAGTAATGCAACGCTGAGCCTCCCATACAGCCTGTGCCACAATGTCTGTGTTTGGGTGTGGGGGTGTGTGGGGGTGTGTGTGGATGTGTATGCCTGTGTGTGCTTTCAGAAGCGCCATGACCTACAGGGAACTGTGGGTTCTCCTGATTCCCAACGTAATACTGTTTCTACTAGCCCTTTTGATTCTCTGAGTCCTCATCTTAAAAACACACACACACACACACACAAAAACGAAAACTCTTGTTTGCATATATAGATTTGTTTTGTGTGTGTATGTGTTCTACATTAACAATACTCTGTGGAACAGAAACATCCAACACCCTGCAATAGTTTTAGCCTTTGGTCCATTTTTCTCTGTTCTTCCACGTTCTCCATTTCTTTTGCAAATCTTGCGTGACGCTTTGACATTATACAATGGTTATCATCCCAATGGGTTTCGTTTCATGAGCACTGTGTGGATGAGAACCACTATTCCACCTTTCCAAAGTAGCTGGACATTTCGGTCTCTCCGGGCCCCTTCGGCCTGTCACCTCCTCTGTGTGCTCTTGGTGGCTCCATCTCAGTAGGGATACTGCTTCTGTTTCTTGCCTGAGAAGCAAGCCAGCCACGTGCACAACAGCATGGCGGTGGCAGCACCCGCTCCCGTGCAATAGTACGCCCAGCCGATCTCACAGTTGCCTAGGGACACAGGAGAGGGACAGAAAGCAGGCACAGATCAGGATGGTTTCACAGGTGGCTCTGTTATTTCCCCCCACACGTATGTTCTTGGTGCACTGAAGTAAAACGGAAATACCCATCAGAAATGTGGTCCATGTGCTCAAATGGAATGATAACAAGTGCCGGAAGGTCTCTCCAGACCGAAGAAAGCCAGAATGGTTGCGTGCATTTCAGAAAGACCTCAGGCCTCCTGCTAGCTCAGAAGACAGAAGCCTAGTCTCTTCCACCAATACCCACACTTCTGGCTGAAGGAAAGGAGGAATGACAGCCGTCAGGATGCGGGAGATGAAAGTATTAGTTCTAATGGAAATCATCCAAACTTGGATGTACAATGAAAAAAACCAAAATGTAGCCACAGTCCGTCTGCAGAGAGGCCACTCTGAGGAGGAGATCCATTTGAAGGATGATGCTGAAGTGAATACTGCTATTTATATAGAACTGGCTCACACTCTACCTTTTGAATTGAAGAACAAAAACTCCCAGATCCTTCTGGGGTCAATACTCTTAAATTAAAATGTCATATAAATGAGAATGTAATGAAAAGAGTTCAAATGGGCCCTGATCTCTCACCGTTGGATTGGTACTAATAGTAATAACAACACACCCACAATACTAAAAGTATAATTAGTAAAAAAAAAAAAAAAAAAAAAAAAAAAAAAAGCGGGAGTAGCTGTCTGCATTTCAGATAGCAGACTTCAAAGCAAGAAAAGTTATCAAGAATAAAGAAGGGATTCCATAGTGATAAAGGAGTGGATTTTCCAAGAAGACATAATAATCTGTAATATGTGTGTGCCTAGCAACAGAGCATCAAATTACATGACACAAAAGCTGACAGATTTCAAGGAGAAATAGGTAAGTCCATTATCATAGTTGGAGACTTCAACACCCCTGTATTGGAAATTGACAGATCCAGCAGGCGGAAAGAATCTAAAAGGACATAGTTGATATCAATCAACTGAATATAACTGACATCTATAGACTACCTCAATCAACAACAGCAGAATACACATTCTCGTCAAGGTCACATGGAAAATACACTAAGATTCTGGCCCATACTACATACCTTAAAACATTGAAAAGAATAGAAATTGGAATGCCTGAGTAGCTTAGTCAGTTAAGTGTCTGACTTTGGTTCTAGTCACGATCTCACAGTTCGTGAGCTCAAGCCTTGCGTCAGGCTATGCATTGCTGGTGTGCAGCCTGCTTGGGATTCTCACTCTCTCCTCTCTCTGCCCCTCCCCCACTCATGCTTTGTTTCTCTCTCTCTCTCTCAAAATAAATAAATAAATAAGCTGAAAAAAAAAGATAAGATTGGAATGGAATTAAACTAGAAATCAATGACAGATCACTGGAAAATACCAAAATCTATGGAGATTAAACAACACACTTCCAAATAACACAGGGCCAAAGAAAAAAATCTCAAAAGAAATTTTAAAATAGTTTGAAATAAATGACAATGAAAATGCAACTTATCAAAATTTATAGAATGCAATAAAAACAGTGCTTCGAGGGAAATGTATAGCATCGGAAGCAGATATTAGAGAAGAATGATACAAAATCAATAATATAAGTTTCTGCCTTAGGAAACTAGAAAAAGAAGAGCAAATTAAATTCAAAGCAGGAGAAAAGAAATAAATTTTAGAGCATAATTCATTAACATTCTATGAAACCATTATTGCCCTAACACCAAAACTGCAAAAACTTACAAGAAAAGAAGCTAAAAACCATTATTTCTTAAGGACAAAGATACAAAAAATTCTCAACAAAATATTAGCATATCGAATTCAGCAATGTATAAAAAGAATCATACAACAACCAAGTGTGATTTATCCCAAATAAAAAAAGGCTGGTTCAGCATTCAAAAGTCAATTAATATAATGTATCACATCAAAAGACTAAAAGAAAAAAAATCATATGATCATATCAGTAGGTCCAAAAAAGATTTCTTTTTTTTTTTTTAATGTTTTTATTTATTTCTAGGAGAGAGAGAGAGAGAGACAGCGTGAGCAAGGGAGGGCCAGAGAGAGAGGGAGTCACAGACCGAAAGAGGCTCCAGGCTCTGAGCTGGCAGTCAGCACAGAGCCCGACGTGGGGCTCAAACCCACGAACCGCGAGATCATGACCTAAGCGAAAGTCGGACGCTTAACCGACTAAGCCACCCAGGCGCCCTGGTCCAAAAAAGATTTAACAAAAATCTAACAACCAGTCATGATTAAAAAAAAATTCTCAGTAAACTAGGAATAGAGGGAAACTTTCTCAACTTGTCAAAGAATATCTAAAACATTTATTACTAATATAATACTTAATGGTGAGAAATATAAAGCTTTTTATTAAAAAAATTTTTTTTACTTTTATTTATTATTGAGAGACAGAGAGAGACAGCATGAATGGAGGAGGGTTAGAGAGAGAAGAAGGTACAGAATGAAGCAGGCTCTAGGCTCTGCGCAAGCTGTCAGCACAGAGACTGATGGGGGGCCTGAACCCATGTACCAGGAGATCATGATCTGAGCTCAAGTCAGATACTCAACTGAGGGCCACCCAGGCGCCCCTAAAGCTTTTTATTTTCAGATTAAATTTTTATTAGGCTTGTAAGAAATTCAGAATTTCAAGTGATTGCCATTTCAATGATCTTGATGAAACTGCTTAGATATGGTTATCATTAAACTTCAGTAAGAAACTCCTTTTCAACATTTTACTGAAGGTTCTAACTAATGTGATAAGTCAGGAAAAGGAAATATAGATTGGGAAGGAAGAAAAAAACTGTCTTTGTTTGTAGATGGCATGACTGTCTCTATAGCAAATGTGAAAGAATCCACAAAAAATCAACCAACCAACCAACCAAACACACACATACCACTCCTGGAACTAATAAGCAAATTATATCAAGGTTGCAGAATATAAGGGTAATATACAAAAGTCAATCACTTCCTATATACCAGCAATGAATAAGTAAAAATTGAAATTTAAAAGATAATACCATTTACATGAGCACCCCCAAAAGTGAAATAATTAGGCATAAATCTAATAAAACATGTACAAGATCTATATGAGGAAATCTACAAAATTGATTTGATGAACAAAATCAAAGAACTAAATAAGTGGAGAAATATTCCATGTTCATGAATAGGAAGACTTGATAGTAACAAGATGTCAGTCCCTCCCAAACTGGTCTATAGATTCAAAGCAATCCTATTTAAAAAAAAATCTCAGTAAGTTATTTTGGGGATATTGACAAACCTATTCTAAAGTTTGTATGGACAGGCAAAAGACTCAGAATAGCCAACATAATATTGAACAAAATACAGCCAAGTTCAACACAGTTAGAGGACTGATACTACTCAACTTCAGGACTTACTATACATCTCCAGTAATCAAAACAGTGTGGTATTGATGAAAAAACAGACAAATAGAGCAATGGAACAGAATAGACAGGTCAGAAATAGACCCTTATAGATATAGTTAACTGATCTTTAACAAAGGAGCAGAGGCATTAAAATGAAGCAAAAACAGTCTTTTCAATAAATGGTGCTGGAATATTTGGACATTCACATGCAAAATAAATAAATAAATAAATAGACATGGAGCCTACAGTCTTCACAAAAATTAGCTAAAACTAGATAACAGACCTAAATGTAACACACAGAACTATAAAACTCTTGGGGCACCTAGGTGGCTCAGTTGGTTAATTAGCTGCCTTCAGCTCAGGTCATGATCTTGTGGGTCTGTGAGTTTGCGCCCCGTGTCAGGCTCCGTTATGACAGCTCAGAGCCTAGAACCTGCTTGGGATTCTGTGTCTCCCACTCTCTCTACCCCTCTAACACTTAGACTCTGTCTCTCTCAAAAATAAATAAACATTAAGAAAAAATTTTTTTTAAAAATAAGCTGTGGTCAGGCAAAGCTAAGCTAAGTGAGTCATCGGCTTGTGGTCACCATAATGCAATAGCGGCAAGATTAAATTGAGGATCTCTATCTCATGAGTGCGCTGCCTACATACACAGACAATAGGCTATGTTCAGTCTTCAACCTAAGTTTATTATATCTAATAAAAATAACCAGTTAAAAATTGTGAGCATTATTGATTGGTACTTGCTCCAAATTATTAAAAGAGCTTTACATGGAGTAAATATTAATGCATTTAATCTTCATAAGAACATGATGTGATACGTACATTCAGATGGGAAAACTGAAGCCAAGAAAATTGCACTAACCTGCCTGAAGACTTGCCCTTAATAAGTGGCGAGTCCTTTGCTTCTCTCCCAAATTTATCCTGTGTTACCGTTCCTCAAATGCCTGCAGCATTCTGCTGTCATTGCTTTCCCATCTCTGTGCTTCCACTGATGGTATCACCAACAGCAAAGCAGGCAACTATCTTTTTAAAAACAAATCATGTTAAGACACTGACTTACCTGAAATTTTCTAAAGGACTGTCAAGCATCTAGTCTTGTTCAGAGGCCTCTGAGGCCTTGCATGAGCTGATATCTGCCCACTTCTCAACTCTCATGACCAACGTCCCTTTGTCTTCTTTCTGGACACACTGGCTGCCTTCTCTGGACCTCACCAGGTTTACTGCTGGCTTGGTGCTTCACATTCATTATTCCCTCTACCCAGAAAGTTCTACTTCAGATCATTAGAGAGCTGACTCTTTCTGAAATGGCACCTCTGTAAAGGTATATCCCACCCCCTACCTGCTTCATCAGTCACTCTCTTCCCTTTATTGCCTTTGTAGCACTTCCCATGGTTTGTAAATACCGTGTGTGTGTGTGTGTGTGTGTGTGTGTGTGTTGTGTGTGTGTGTGTGTGTAATTTCAGCCTCTTCCACTAGAATGAAAGTTTCAATTAGGGGAAACCTTTGTATATTTTCTCCCCTACTCTATCCCTACAACAGTGCCTGGTTCATAATAGTCACTCGCCAATAAGTTGAATGAAAGGCAAGGTAAAAGAAAAATGGAAAGAAAGGAATC